CACACACACACACACACACACACACACACACACACACACAGATCACTTCCTGCTCATTTAACTTAAATAGTTGACTATACATACACAAACTGAGACTGTACAAAAACTTTACATAAATACTGTAAATTAAATTGTGCAAAAGAGATATTTTGGTGGAAGCAGCGCATGCAAGATGATTTGTAGTGCAATGCACAATTAAACATATATTATCAAATGAAGTCTTTGTGTGTGGGAGTGTTTGTAAAAAGTGTCTAGTGTACATTCAGAGAAAAGAGTGTGACATTTCCTCATGTTGGGAACTCTAACAAACTCCAAAGATATGTTATTCTCTGAAGTGATTTACCAGCATCTCAGACTTTCACTTGTTTCAATGATTTGTTCAGAGATGCTGATTTCTGCTGGTATATGTGACGATGATGAGAGTCAGATATAATAAGACTTCTGTTTCATGCAGTGATTGTCGTCCACAATCCTCCTCGCAGGAGAAGATGGAGCAAAGATCCACCTCCACTGAGTAAGTCTGTACTTACATAAATGAAATTATGTGTGGAAAATATGGGCAATTAATCCTTATTAAAACATAAGTGATAAATTCAACCTCTTACTAGTGGATTCTGGTCATTTTGATCTGTGATGTTGGATTAAGATCAAGTTCTTGGCATCATATGTTACATATCACACGTGTTACTGTAAAATGTGGGGATTTTGAACAGTGAAAGTTTGGCTCTTTGCAGTGAGGATAGTTGTTCTGGGTTTGAGCGTGTCAGAAAACAGTGGATTGGGAAACTTCATCTTAGGACGAGCAGCGTTTGACAGTGAAGCTCCTCCAGATGTTGTAGAGAGAGTCGGAGGAAGACTGAAGGACAGACATGTGATGCTCATCAGCAGTCCTCAGCTGCTCCAGAGGAACATCTCAGATCATCAGCTCACACAGACTGTGAGAGAGTGTGTGTTTCTGTCTGATCCAGGACCTCATGTGATCGTGCTGCTCCTCAATCATGAGCCGTGTTCAGCAGAAGATCAGGAGCGTGTGGAGAAGGTGCTGCACTCTTTCTCTGAGCAGGTTTATCAACACACCATGGTGCTCAGCACACAAGAGCCCACAGAAACCAGTGGCATCCTACAGAACATCATTCAGAAATGTGCAAACAGACACTTCAGTCTTCAGAGGAGCAGCTCTCCTGATGATCTGCTGCAGACACTTGAGGACATTGAGAAGATGAATGACGGACGTTATCTGCACTGTGCTGAAGCTGCACAGTGTTTCACAATGAAGCAACAGAACACAGAGAGACGTGAGTGTGATGATGCTTGAAGTTCCTAGTGATGAATTAACATGTTTTAATCTTCTTCTTCTGTCAGTTTCAGAGGGTGTGAAGCTGAATCTGGTTGTGTGCGGGAGCGACGGCACATTAAAATCCTCCATATCAGACCTGATCCTGCAGCAGATAGACAGAAGATCAGACGTGGAGCTTCATGGTCGTCTGATCAGTGTAATAGAGCTTCCAGCTCTGATCCGGCTCTCAGAGGAGGAAGAGATGCGTCAGACTCTCCGCTGTGTGTCTCTCTGTCATCCTGGAGTTCATGTTTTCCTCATCATTATTCCTGATGCTCCTCTCAATAGTGAAGACAAAGCAGAAATAGAGGAGATTCAGAGGATCTTCAGCTCCAGAATCAACAAACACATCATGATCCTCATAAAGCAGAGTTCAGAGCATCAGACAGCAGAACTCAATGAAGAAACACAGTCTGTCATTGAGAGGTTCGGAGGAAGACATCATTTCTTTGGTCCCAAAACACAAGTGTCCTCATTGATGGAGAACATCGAGCAGATGCTGGAAGAAAACAGAGGAGAGTATTTCTCCACTGAGATGTTTCTGGAGGCGCAGATGAAGAAACTGATGAAATATGAAGAGATGAAGAAGAAAACTGACTCACTAGAAATCCATTTACCATCACAAGGTTAAAAAAAAAGTTTGATATTAAACTACACAGCATGTTTTAAAATAGATTTTTTTACTACAGGAGTGTTTGATTCTATATTAGATTTTTATACATTTGTTAAAAAGTTCAAAAATTCAAAATTCAATTAAAAAATTCCAAAGTCAAAAATTCTGATTGTTGAAAAATAAGCTCAAAGCTTCATTGTTCCACAGGAAATTAAGATTATTACAGTAGTCAAACTGATAAATAAAAAAAAATCCGATCTCTGTAATGTTTTCTGATCCATATTAATCATGCAGCTCATAGTGAAACATATTAGTTGTTCTGTATATTTTCTCTAAAAAACTTTGCAGATAATGTAAATTTGACAGAGATCAACTGCTTCATGAAAATTAGAAAAGCACACTAATGTCTCTGAACTGTGTACATTGTAGAGTGACATGTACATCTTCACAATGCATTTCCAGACCACACAAAACTACATGAATACTAAACAAGCAGACAGCAGACCTATGTTACACAATCACATTTTGGGGAAAACAAACTTAAGGCTGTAAAACTGATGCATTTCCTCTCTTACAGGTTCAGCAGAGAGTGAAGATGATCTGAGGATTGTGCTGCTGGGAAAAACTGGAGTTGGGAAAAGTGCAACTGAAAACACAATGTTATGTTTTACAGCAGAAGAATCTTTTGAATCAGTGACTAAAGAGAGTCAGAGAGAAACATCTGACATCGACGGCCGACGCGTTACTGTGATCGACACTCCAGAACTGTTTGATACTGAACTGAGTAATAAGGAGATCCAGAGAGAAATAAGACACTGCATCTCCATGATCCTGCCTGGACCACGTGTGTTCATCATTGTGCTTAATTTAGGACAACGATTCACTAAAGAAGAGGTAACATCAGTGAAGATCATCCAAGAGACATTCGGTGAAAACTCATTAAAGTTCACGATGGTGCTCTTCAGCAGAGGAGATTTCCTGAAGAAGAAGACCATCGAACAGTGTTTGGGTAAACCTGGATCTCCTCTGATGAAGCTGATTGAAGCGTGTGGAAACAGATTCCATGTGTTCAATAATAATCAGACTGAAGACAGGTGACTGATCTACTGTAGAATATAGACGACATGCTGAAAGAAAACAGAGGGAGTTCCTACTCATGCAAGCTGTTCAGAGAGATGGAGAGAGAAAAACAAGAACAACAGCTGAAGATACTGATGGACAGACTCAGAGAAAGAGAAGGAGAGATGAAGAAACATGAAGAAGAGAAAGAGAATGAAAATGACGATGGAGGAAGAACTAAAGAATCATGATAAAGAGAGAAAGAGAAGAGGAGTTTAATATAGTTCTCCCTCATTAAAGAGTGATATAAAAGAAAGAAGAGAGTGTAAGGATAAAAGAAACTCAGATACTTTGATCTCCTGAGAAACAGACAATACACTGGCATCTTCAAGACACCCCACAGAGGGGTGGTGCAGGAAACGCCTCTCTCACATATGCATCAGTGCCGTTTCATCTGCTCCATCCACTGGATTCACTCAGCATGGTCAATAGTATAATGTTCTATAAGATTTACAGTCATGTGTGGTATCATTTGAAGAGTCTCAGGGTGAGTGGTACAATGGTCTTAATCTTACAAAAGTAGACTAAAAGATAATACAGATCCTAAGAGTTAAGAGATACTTTGA